CTCTCTCACTCTCCTTTTTTTTTTGCTCTATGGTTTGCAATACAGATACTGAAAAGTTATTGGGTATATGACTACTCTTGACATAACTGTTGTTCCCTGTGCTGCAGATGCACTGCTTGGCTCAGAGATTGCCCAAGTAACCGGGAATGATGTGGACTCTGGGCCGGTGCTGTGGTATGTGCTGAGCCCATCTGGGCCCCAGGATCCCTTCAGTGTAGGCCGTTATGGAGGCCGTGTCTCACTCACGGGTCCCCTGGACTTCGAGCAGCATGACCGCTACCACCTGCAGCTCCTGGCACACGATGGGCCTCACCAGGGTCGAGCCAACCTCACAGTGCTCGTGGAGGATGTCAACGACAATGCACCTGCATTCTCCCAGAGCCTCTACCAGGTACTGAGTCCCCTGAAGGACCCCCCACACCTGAGCCTTGGGTTGTTCACATTGGAGGGAAGCAATGAGGCCTGAGGTCTGTGTGGGCTAGATGGCGGAACTGACAGGGGAGAGAGTTCTGCTATCCAAAGCGGCACCCCCAGGTCCTAGGAGCTATGTCCAGCAATGGGAGAGAAATTTTAATGCTGAGGCTAGATTCCAAGCTGGAATGGATGACAGAGCTCGAAGGCCTAAACTCCAGAACAGAGACCGAGTGTACTGCTGGGAAACTGGGCTAAAATGCTTGTCCTCCCACTCCCACCTTAGGTGATGCTGCTCGAACACACCCCCCCAGGAAGTGCCATTCTCTCCGTTTCTGCCACTGACCGGGACTCAGGTGCCAATGGTCACATCTCCTACCACCTGGCTTCCCCTGCTGAGGGCTTCAGTGTTGACCCCAACAATGGTGCGTCCTTCTAGGGCTCTGAGTCCTTCTCTTTCTTGTGTCAGATTTCCTGGATTCTGAACTTTCTTTTTCTTTTGGAGCGGAGTGTGCGGGGTGTGGAGGGGCGAGGGGGGAGGGGTGTCACACCCAGTGATGCTCAGGGATTATTCCCGGCTCTGCACTCAGGAATTACCCCTGGCAATACACAGGCAACTATATGGGATGCCGAGGATCGAACCTGGGTCGGCCGTGTGCAAGGCAAACACCCTACCCACTGTATTATCACACCAACCCCAGGATTCTGAGCTTTATTGTCTGAATTCTAAACTCGATCTGTTTGAGGGAGGAAATTTTTCTATCCCTCTGTCTCCTTTTAAGCCCAGTTTCCCACTGCATGTTTGGAAGCCATTGTCTGAATCCTGGAAACTATTCCATGATCTCTCAGAACACAGGCCCTTCCCTGGGGCCTGAACTTTGAGGCCATTTCCACAGCCTCACAAGATCCTTCTTGTGCTCAGCCACAGTCTCTACTGAATGCTTGTTTCTTGCCATTTTCTTAGGGACTCTGTTCACAACAGTGGGAGCGATGGCTTTGGACCAGGAGGGGCCAGGAGTGGTGGATGTGGTTCTGGAAGCACGAGATCACGGGATGCCAGGCCGGGCAGCACGAGCCACAGTGCACGTGCAGCTGCAGGATCAGAATGACCATGCCCCAAGCTTCACTTTGCCACACTACCAGGTGGCTGTGACCGAGGACCTGCCCCCAGGTTCCACCCTGCTCACCCTGGAGGCCACAGATGCTGACGGGAGCCGTACCCATGCCACTGTGGACTACAGCATTGTGAGCGGCAACCGGGGCAGGGTCTTCCAACTAGAGCCCCGGCTGGCTGAGTCGGGGGACGATAGTGGACTAGGCCCCCGGACGCTGGGCTGCCTGGTGTTGCTTGAGCCTCTGGATTTTGAAAGCCTGACCCAATACAACCTAACAGTGACTGCGGCAGACCGAGGGCAACCTCCTCGCAGCTCAGCAGTGCCTGTCACGATCACTGTGCTAGATGTCAATGACAACCCACCTATCTTCTCCCGAGCATCCTACCGGGTGGCAGTGCCCGAGGACACGCCCATTGGAGCTGAGCTGCTGCATGTGGAGGCTTCCGATGCTGACCCAGGTCCTCATGGTCTCGTACGGTTTACGCTCAGCTCAGGTGACCCCTTGGGGCTCTTTGAGTTGGATGAAAGCTCAGGCGCCTTACGACTGGCCCACTCCTTGGACTGTGAGACCCAGGCTCGACATCAGCTTGTGGTGCAGGCAGCCGACCCCACAGGGGCACACTTTGCTCTGGCACCAGTGATGGTTGAGGTCCAGGATGTGAATGATCATGGCCCAGTCTTCCCCCTGAACTTGCTCAGCACCAGCCTGGCAGAAAACCAGCCCCCAGGCACTCTTATAACCACCCTGCATGCAATTGATGGGGATGCTGGGGCTTTTGGGAGGCTTCGTTACAGCCTGCTGGATGCTGGCCCGGGGCCTGATGGCCGTGAGGCATTTGCACTGAACAGCTCAACAGGGGAGCTGCGGGCTCGAGTGGCCTTTGACTATGAGCACACAGGAAACTTCCAGCTGCTGGTGGGTGCTGCTGATGCTGGGAATCTCTCAGCCTCAGTCACTGTGTCAGTGCTGGTGACCGGTGAGGACGAGTATGACCCAGTTTTCCTGGCTCCAGCTTTCCACTTTCAGGTGCCAGAAGGTGCTCGGCGTGGCCACAGTCTGGGTCACGTGCAGGCCACAGATGAAGATGGAGGTGCTGATGGCCTGGTGCTCTATTCCCTTGCCACCTCTTCCCCCTATTTCGGGATCAACCAGACTACAGGTGCCCTGTACCTGCGGGTGGACAGCCGGGCACCGGGCAGTGGAGCAGGTAGCTCAGGGGGTGGGGGCCGGACTCGGCGTGAGGCGCCTCGGGAGCTGAGGTTAGAAGTGATGGCACGGGGGCCTCTGCCTGGTTCCCGGAGTGCCACAGTGCCCGTGACTGTGGACATCACCCACACAGCCCTGGGCCTGGCCCCTGACCTCAACCTGCTCTTGGTGGGGGCCGTGGCGGCCTCCCTGGGAGTCGTGGTGGTGCTTGCTCTGGCAGCCCTGGTTCTCGGGCTGGTGAGGGCCCGCAGCCGCAAAGCTGAGGCAGCACCTGGCCCCATGTCACAGGCAGCACCCCTGGCCAGTGGAACCCTGCAGAAGCTGGGCCGAGAGCCACCCAGCCCACCGCCTTCAGAGCACCTGTATCACCAGACTCTCCCCAGCTACGGTGGCCCCGGAGCCGGGGGGCCATATCCGCGTGGGGGCTCCCTGGACCCTTCACACTCCAGTGGCCGAGGCTCAGCAGAGGCCGCAGAGGATGACGAGATTCGCATGATCAATGAGTTCCCCCGGGTGGCCAGTGTGGCCTCCTCCTTGGCTGCCCGTGGCCCCGACTCAGGCATCCAACAGGATGCAGATGGACTGAGCGACACATCCTGTGAGCCAGCTGCCCCTGACACCTGGTATAAGGGCCGCAAGGCAGGGCTTCTGCTGCCGGGGCCGGGCGCCACCCTGTACCGAGAAGAGGGGCCCCCAGCCCCAGCCACGGCCTTCCTGGGAGGCTGTGGCCTCAGCCCTGCACCTCCTGGGGACTATGGCTTCCCAGCAGATGGCAAGCCCTGTGTGGCAGGTGCGCTGACGGCCATTGTGGCTGGTGAAGAGGAGCTCCGTGGCAGCTATAACTGGGACTACCTGCTGAGCTGGTGCCCTCAGTTCCAGCCGCTGGCCAGCGTCTTCACCGAGATTGCCCGTCTCAAGGATGAAGCCCGGCCATGCCCCCCGGCTCCCCGTATTGATCCACCACCCCTCATCACTGCCGTGGCTCACCCCGGAGCCAAGTCTGTACCCCCCAAGCCAGCCAGCACAGCTGTAACTCGAGCCATCTTCCCGCCAGCCTCCCACCGCTCCCCCATCAGCCACGAAGGCTCCCTGTCCTCAGCCGCCATGTCCCCCAGCTTCTCCCCCTCACTGTCTCCGCTGGCTGCTCGCTCACCTGTTGTCTCGCCATTCGGGGTGGCCCAGGGCCCCTCGGCCTCAGCACTCAGCACAGAGTCTGGCCTGGAGCCCCCTGATGACACAGAGCTACACATCTAGCTGTGGCCCAGGCTGGGCCCCGACCTGGGATGTGCACAGCATCCCCAATGCAGGCCCCATCTGAGCCTGCCCCGGGCAGCCTCGGATCACGGTTGGCCATGGGGAAGGCCCGCTTCCCACCCCAGACTCCTCCACTGGGGGCAGATCCCGCGTCTCCCACTGGCCCCACCAGAGCACCAGCACCACAGAGTCCTCTCAATTGTGCACTGACCCGTGGCCAGGTCCAGTGTGGGGAGAAATACGAAGGAGGCGGCAGCCCTGGGTTCTCCTCAGTGAGGGCTCTCTGCCCTGCACCAGCACCCTGACATGGAGCTGAGACTTTATTTATTGGGGGAAGGGGGTTGGGGGAGGTCCTCCAACCTGTTAGGGCCCAGCTCCCTTGGGTTCCATTGACACCCTTGCCCTTGCCCAGAACCAAGTGCCAATTCTCACTCTGGAGCCTTAATAAACTGCAGTTTGTATCCAGCGTTTGGCTCTGTTCTCTGGGGATTGGGGGAGTGGAGGGTGGCGTTAGGGCATGTGGTGGCAGTGGGCACTGAAGTATAACAGGTATGAGGGCATCCAGAATATGGTTGACATGGAGTGCAACCGGAGTGCCTTAGACACAGAAAATAAGGGAGAAGGCAGACCTCTGGGCTTATAGCTGGCAATGACCAAGAGGGGGTTGGTTGCGGGGAACAGCTCTTGGGGTGACCAGTTTTACATCTGAGGTCTTCAGGGAGATGTGGGTGGATACCAGAGCCACAAAATAAAAGCTCCTTTGACAGGTCAGGCTCATCTCCTGCTTTGTACAGTTCTGGGAGGCAGAACACACGGACTGAAACAGTCTCGCAGCCGCCAGATCAGGTGGCTGTGCGTAGAGCACACAGCTGGACAGCACACAGCTGGACGAGCCAGGGTCTGAGTCTCGCTGGGGCCCCGGTGACCAGGCTGCGCTCCAGCGGGCTCCGGCCTCCTGCACGCGGGACCACCCACTGGAGGGAGGAGCCGGCGCAGGCTCGGGTGTGGGTGGAGGAGGCACCTCGTGATCGGTCACATGACGACTGAGCTGCAGAGAGGAGGAATGAGTCTCGGAGCGTGGTGAGAAATGAGGGGGCTTTGGAGCAGGAGATCCCGTCGGAGGGAACACAGGTTGGAGGGTGGGAACACAGTGGCCTTTCCCTCTCGCTGAAAGCCCTCCTGTACGCCTCCTCCCCGCACAGTTTTCTAGGGCTCCTCGCCCTCGTGGTCGCCAGCAAATGCAGTTACAGCCCGGAGCCTGACCAGAGGTGGATGTGAGTTGACGGAGTCCTGACGGCCCCTTCCCCCTTTCCGGGTGCCCTGCCTTGTATCACTGATCTGGCCTCCCCCAGCCCCTGCCAGCCACTGTATCCACGCTGCAGTCTCTTCTCCAGCTTCCCGGGCTCAGTCCTTTCATGACCTCCTGCCAGTAACTGCTTCTGGGATCCCACTCAAAGTCTCCCTGAGCTTTCCCTGGCTAGTATTGCCCACCCCCACCTTAATGAAGGCCTTGTTCCTGATCCCCGTCTGCAGGATCCCCCCAGGCTGGGTGCATTTGGGTCGTGCAGCTCCGGAGGAAGAGCTGAGTCTCACCTTTGCCTTGAGACAACAGAACCTGGAAAGACTCACCCAGCTGGTGCAGGCAGTCTCGGACCCTGGATCCCCTCAATACGGTGCCTGTTGGGACTGGGAGTGGGATGTGAAATGCACTGGAGGGACAAGGCTGGACACCAGCCACAGATTCTGGCCCCTGGTGCTTTCAGTCTCCGTGGAAGGGCTGCTTGATGTCAGGCAGGTGAATGGCTGCTGTTCTCAGTGTGAAAAGGTGAAACAGGCTCAAGGATTAGTTCAGACCCTGGCGGCTACACTGCCAGGTGTAGTTCTGGAGGTCCCCAGGCACCGCTAGGGTGCCCCAGTTGGCCCTGGGTACCACAGGGCCCACCCAAGCAACTTCACATTTCCAGGTCGTGGCACGCACCCATTGGCCAACTTCCACTAGGAGTGACCCTGAATTCCCTAAGCACTGCTTAGGAGCTCTTCTCCCCAGATAAAGGAAATTGGAATGAAGTTGTCCAAAGTTAACTCACATTCTCTACTCTGGAACTTTCCATCTGTGTTTATCGGCTAGAAACCAAAAAGTGGATGTGATTAAAGAGCATGGGCCCTGTAATCAGATCTGAACTGACATTCTGACTCTGCCGCCTACCAACTAGCAGAAAAATAGGGAGGTAACAGCTGGTGCTCAGAGGAGAGTTTATCACCTCCACCTTCAAGTACACTCCCTTTTCCTCTTCCATTCAGGAATTGAAGTTTTCAGGGTTATTTTTGGTTGGGTTTGGGTTTGGGGGCCACACCCAACAGTGCTCAGGACTTATTCTTGGCTCTTCTGTTGGGGTTTGGGGGATAATATGTGAGACCAGGAACTGAAACCAGTCTACTGTGTGCAAGACAAGCGTCCTAGCTTCTGCAGTACCTCTCCAGCCCTGCAATTTCCAGTTCTAAACCTGACCCTCGGAGTGGGTTGCTTCTCACCATCCCTTGTTACTACCAACTCAGTTGCTGTTTTTGGTTTTGGCTTTTAAAAAAGTTTGGGTGGAGGAGTTGGGCCATACCAAACTGCTAAGGGATTTTCCTGGCTCTGTGCTCAGGGATCACTCCAGGAAGTGCTTTGGAGACCATTTGCTGTGCTGATGATTAAACAGGTATTGGCATTGTATAAGGCAAGAACCTTAACCTCTGTACTATCTCTTTGGCTGTATTTCAAATTTAAAATTGGGGCCGAAGAGAGTACAGTGGTTAGGATGCTTGCCTTGCATGCAGCTGTTCCTGTTTCGGTCACCATCATCATACAATTTCCTAAGTACTACTAGGAGTGATGCCTGAGCACAGAAACAAGAGGAGTAAGTCCTGAACACCTCCAGGTGTGTTCCCACCCTTCAGATATATCAAATGAAGTTTAAAATCCCCAAGTATGAAGAAATGAGAAGAATTAGATGTGACCTAATTCTGACTGAAGTTCAGGCTGTAGATACTCAAAAATAGAAAATTTTATTAACCATTTGTTTTTCACCATTGAGACAATGCATGCTGTGGTGCAGCATTGACAACTTACTGGTCTTGTGGATAAATCTATATTCCTGGCCAGGAGTTTCCAAAACCTTCAGACTTTTCTTCCTGTGGCCTCCCCAATGTAGCCTGCACCTGCAGCGCTTGTCTTTTTTGCTAGAAAAGTCCTACCAATCCTTCAAGATCCTGCTCCAAGTTCTCTGGAAAGTCTTTAGGGGAAGTGGGTGTGTGGCCTCCCAAGTGACAGTTAGGAGACCTGGAAGTTCCTCCCAGCAATTCTTGGCCAGCAGGAATCTGTGTGGTGTTCAGGAGACAATTCCCAGCAGTAGAGGGGCAGCATCAGTGGGAAGCCACACCAAGGTGTGAGCCTTGGCTCACGTGCTATTGCTTCATTCCTTTCTGGGAACACTTGATGTCTCTGGGTTGAGGTTCAAAAATGGCCACTTGGGAAAGCAATGAACGAATGAAGGCAAGAGCCTTTCCTGAATCTCTGCAGGAAAATACCTGACCCTGGAGGATGTGACTGAGCTAGTGCGGCCATCGCCGTTGACCCTCCGCACGGTCCAAAAATGGCTCTTGGCAGCTGGAGCTCGAAATTGCCATTCAGTGACCACGCAGGACTTTCTGACTTGCCGGCTGAGTGTTCGGTGAGAGGGAATGATTGCCCTGGAGAGGGAACTTATCATTCCATCAGGGAGATGAGTCGTGCCAACGGGAGGGAGCAGAGAGCTTGCTGGGGGCTTGTGGGTGAAGAGCTTATGCCAGGGGAGCCCATGAGGAGCTGTTCAGCGACGCTTTCTGACCTCTGTTCTCGGATGTTTGACCTCCAGAGAGGCAGAGTGGCTGCTTTCTGGGGCTGAATTTCACCACTATGTGGGAGGCCCTGCAGAGACTCACGCTGTAAGATCCGCTCGTCCCTACCAGCTCCCGAAGGCCTTGAGGCCCCATGTGGACTTTGGTAACATTCACAGGGTTGGTGAAGGTTGGGGTAAGGGAACCAGGGCCGGGGGAAAGTTAGATGTGGAGTGGGAGGTCTATGGGACTGGGGCAGGGACAGTGGGAAATGGAGATTGAAGTCCAGAAGTTCTTTTCCTCAAATCTGTTCCCTCTTCACAGTGGGAGGTTTGCATCGCTTCCCCCCCATATCATCGCTGAAGCAACGCCCTGAGCCACAGGTGGCAGGGACTTTTGGTTTCCATCTGGGTGTCACTCCGTCTGTGATTCGAGAGCGATACAACTTGACAGCACAAGACGTGGGCTCTGGCACAACCAACAACAGTCAGGCCTGTGCCCAGGTGAGCTCAAGTTCCAGAAGCCTCACAGCTTCTTCGAAGTACATGCCCTGCCTGGGGCTTGCTCTCTGCCCAACTCCTGGGCTCTTAGCCCCTAGCCTATGAGCTTCTCTGCTTTCCCTTCCATGGCTGTGCCTCTGATTCCTCATATTCGCTCGGACTCCCTCTGCAGTTCCTGGAACAGTATTTCCATGAATCGGACCTGGCTGAGTTCATGCGCCTCTTCGGTGGGAAATTTGAACACCAGGCCTCTGTAGCCCGTGTGGTCGGGAAACAGGGCCGGGGCCGTGCTGGGATCGAGGCCAGTCTGGATGTGGAGTACCTGATGAGTGCCGGGGCTAACATCTCTACCTGGGTCTACAGTAGCCCTGGTACTGCCCACGAATTGGTAGTGGGGAGTGAGGTGGGGGTGAGTGCTCCCTGCTTTCTGAGAGGGAGATCCCAAGAACTCCCAAATGATGGCACTTGTGTTCCCCTCCAAAAATCATGCAGGCCGCCATGAGTCACAGGAGCCCTTCCTGCAATGGCTCCTGCTGCTCAGCAATGAGACCATCCTGCCACATGTGCACACCATTAGTTATGGCGACGATGAGGACTCCCTCAGCAGCGCCTACATCCAGCGCGTCAACACCGAGTTCCAGAAGGCTGCTGCTCGGGGCCTTACCCTGCTCTTTGCCTCAGGTGTGACTTAACTTCGTCACAGGTGTGACTTGACTTCGTGCTCTAGACTTTGTCACCCTTTTGTCTCTGAAGCTCTGTCCCCACAATGTCCCCTGAACCCAACTTCTAACACATTCTGAACTCAGTAGGGGTGTACTGGCCTGACCTCTCAGCTCTGACCTCTGGCCATAAGACGAATCCTGGAATTTCCTCTCTGACATTGGAACTCTGATCTCTGGCTGACTAAATAGAGAGCTAAACTTAGTCTCTCTCACAGGTGACAGCGGAGCTGGGTGTTGGTCTGTCTCTGGAAGACACCAGTTCCGTCCATCCTTTCCTGCTTCCAGGTAAGCACCCTACCTAAGCACCCTACCTCACCACTTGCCTGTGACTAACAGCCTGTCATTGAAAACATCACATTCTGGAACTTTTGTCTCCAACCCAAGAAGTGCTTTTGTGGCTCAGCCCCCAGCAACCTGCCATGGTTACAGCATTCTCCTCTTCCTTCTCCCTCAGATCAGGGAAAAATTAAATTAGATTATTACATGAGTAGGAGACAGTGCTCAAGAGTGTTCCTCCCGGGCTTGGAGCAATATCATAGCGGGTAGGTCATTTGCCTTGCATGCGGCCGACCCGGGTTCAATTTCCAACATCTCATATGGTCCCCTGAGCACTGCCAGGAGTAATTCCTGAGTGCAGAGCACCAGGACTAACCCCTGTGCATCGCTGGGTGTGACACAAAAAGAAAAAAAAAAAAAGGACTGATCCTCCTACTGAGGGCCCAGGCATTTTGGTGGGAGAGATTTGGTGGGTGTGCATCAGGGCAACGTTGTCATGGTCATCTTAGGTGGTGTGGTGAGTGCCTAAAACCTGTTTCCTCCCCACCCCCGAAGTAGAATCTCCCACACAGCTCTAGCTGTTTCAGCAAAACCCAGGTTATGTTTACCCACCCCCACACATATTGAAGATCTGCTGAGATCACCTGCAATCTGAGTGCTCCCTTCCGCCCCCAGCCCCTATGTCACCACAGTGGGAGGCACATCCTTCCAGAATCCTTTTCGAGTCACAAATGAGGTGGTTGACTATATCAGCGGTGGTGGCTTCAGCAATGTGTTCCCACGTCCTTCATATCAGGTACACAGTTGTTTGTGCTGATGAAATGGTGGGAGGTCCAGGGGAGTTTGTGGGGGTCCCAGACTGCTGAGTAGGCTGTACGTGAGTACTCCATAATACCTTTCAGGAGGAAGCTGTAAATAAGTTCCTGAGTACCAGCCTCCAGTTGCCACCATCTAGTTACTTCAATGCCAGCGGCCGTGCTTACCCAGATGTGGCAGCGCTCTCTGATGGCTACTGGGTGGTCAGCAACGGTGTGCCCATTCCATGGGTATCTGGCACCTCGGTGAGAATCAGTCTAGTTCCTAAGTGGCAGTTAGGAATTACCCTGCCCCTCTACTTCCAAGACCCTGTGCAACTCTAAATCCAGTGCCTCAGATACCTGTGATCCTTTCTAATACATCCTTTCAGCATCTCCCACTGACCCTCTCATCTCTTCTGCGTCTTCTACCCACAGGCCTCTACGCCAGTGTTTGGCGGACTGCTGTCCCTGATAAATGAACACCGACTCCTCAGTGGCCGCCGCCCTCTTGGCTTTCTCAACCCCAGGCTATACCAGCAGCATGGAGAAGGACTGTTTGATGTGAGTGTGGCCAGGCTGTGGAGATGCTTTCATGACTCTGGGGAGTGCTAAAATGAACTTAACAGCGGCCCTTATGGGGTGATCCCTATGGGGTGGGAATACAGGGTTTGGGCATGCTGTTTGTTCGTTTTATCAGCAGATCCAGATGTGATGTCCATCTTCTCCCTAGGTAACGCATGGGTGCCATGAATCCTGTCTGAATGAAGAGGTGCAGGGTGAAGGTTTCTGCTCTGGTCCTGGGTGGGATCCTGTGACAGGCTGGGGAACACCCAACTTCCCAGCTCTGCTGAAGTCACTGGTCAACCCTTGATCCTGTCCTGATGGGAGAATGAGCCTGTTCCTGTCCCACAACTGGTGACTTTAATCTGCACTGATAGAAGCCCTACAGATCCTCAATGTCCACTGCTGCCGATAGCTTCTACCCCTGACCCGGAAATGCTGTGAAGTTGGCATGACTCCCAATCCTTTGCTCCACCACATACTCTCTTCTCCCTACATCTGTCTCATCTTCCTCAGCAGCTGCTATAACCAGTATTGTTTGAGGACCCCCTTCCTCCCTGCCCTCTCCCTCATTTATTCTCTTTTCAACCAGGCTTTCCCAATGGGTTGTCTATAATGTCTGTGTGTACTGTTTCACCTCATTTCTGCTCCTTAATGCATTGCATTGATACCTCTGTTTTCACTTGCCCCATCTCTCTGTTCTCTGTCACCAGGACACATTTCCAATCATTGCTTTATGGGCTCTGTCAGTTTCCTACAGCTCTCTCCTTCCTTACTTTCTAAGGCTTATCTTCCCCTTTAAATTCTCCTCATCCCTACCCTCCTTAAATTCCCCTCTTCTCTTCTCTCTCTGCTTCGTCAATGAATCTTGGTATTCTATCCTTAGTCACTTTCTCCTCCTCATTCTACGCCTCTCCCTCCAATCAACTAATTGCTGGCATCCACCAGCCATCACCACCTCACTAATTCAGGCTAATAGTGATTAATAATTGAAATGCAAGATGTGTGATGCTCAGCACTTCTCTCTCATTTCCTTTTTTTATGGTGGGGGAGACAGTGCCAAGAAGAAAATCCAGGGCCTTACACATGCAAGGCAAATGCTCTACCACTGACTTTTTACGTCTTCATCCTCAGCACTTCTCCTAACTTCAAAGGATTATTTTTCTCTTCTTCTTGGTGAATGATAGTGCTGCTTCTAATCAAGCCAGATACCCACCCCCAACCCCTGTTGTTAATCAGCAAGTCCTACTAGTTTTACTTTTTACTTGTCTTCACCCACAAGTCCTACATAGACCTAGAGCTTACCTACTTTTCTCCATCTCTAATGCTACCTTTTCTCTCCTATTGAAGGCCTTTGCAAAAAGTCTTCTAACTTCCTATCCTTCCCTAGTCTTTCGTAATAAAATGCAAATGCTAGTCGGTAATTTGTTTATGACCCTCCAAAGCTAAGATTATTGATAAAATTCTGGATTTTTATCATGACTCATAGCCTGATCCCTTCCTTGCTATTTGTTCTGAAGTAACCGCCTACTCTCTGCTTCCTCTCAACCTACATTTCATTTTGCTCAATAGGCGCCCCCTTAACACAGGTGTTGACCCCAGTGCCTGATTACTAGTGTTCAGGTGTGTAGTAGACCACAGCTCCTTTTGTGAATCTCTTAGTTTCCTGAAAATACTAGAACTCGGAAGCAAATCTATTTGATTTTTGGTTTTGCTAGACTAAGAAAGAGTCTGGGCAAGTAAGCTTCTTGAACTTCATCTTTTACTTTGCCTCACAGCAGTCAAGGAATGATAAAATTAAATTGACAAGAGTGCTTGACAACCCAAGTAGATGAAAGATATTAGTTTCTGTCTTTGCACTGACACTGTCTTCCCTTGCACTGATGTCTACCTCTAGTTGTGTTAACGTGGTATTAAAATAGCCAGTTTACCTGTTTACCTCCCTTTCCAAGACCATTGGTGCCTAGAGGACTGGATTCTGCCCTACTAAACTTTGTATTTCCAGGCCCTAACCTAGATTGGCAAAAAAGGAATTAAATGTTTGCTGTAGTGAATATCCCGTTTCTCCACTGGCTGTTGTTTTGCACGGTTGTTTGGGATCCAGACTGAAACATCTCCCTGCCCAGCTAATAGCACTGCGTGAGCCCTCCTTCTGCAGAACCTCACTTTTGTGGGCAGCTGGCAGGGAAAGGGGACTTTCCAGCTCTGTCAGAAACCTTTAAAAGGCTAAATAAGGGAACTAGAAATGCAGTGTAGGCAACCCTTGTTCCAGAGTATCCGCAGTTGTCTGAAGGAAGATTAAGTCCCAACCCCAAGGCAAGTTATTTAGGGATGAAGGAGGGGGCGGGGACGGGGTGGAGACTGAGCACACCCCAGGAACCTAGTGGTGTCAGACCCACCCAGGGTACGGTTTGCGAGGCAAAGGGTTCTACCGCAGAGCTTAATCCCCGGCACTAAAGAAAGACTTTTAAATGGGGGTTGGGGAGGGAAGGATAGTTTGGGCCACAATCAGCTGTGCTCTGGGCTTGCTCCTAGCTCTGTGCTCAGGGGCCATACGCGGCGCGCGCGGGGGGGGATTCGAACCAGGTCACCCACGGTACAATTTCTCCGGCCCAAAGAGAGAGATTTAGACGAGGGCTCCCGGACAGCAGAGGAGCTTTCTGCGCGTAAGAGGTTCCGATCGCGGCCGAACTGCCTGGGAATACGAGGGGATGGGAGCTGGAATGTCCGCGACTTCTGCGGTTCACCAGAACCGAGTCTCCACCCTCCGATCTAAGTCATCTAATTGGCCGACACGCTACAAAAGGAGGTTAGAAGGCTCAAGGGAGGGAGCGAACATGGCGGGGGCGGGGCGGGTGACGCCACCGGCGGCGTGCGTCACGTGAGCGGAAGCGGAAGCGGCTCTGTTCGCCGCCTCGCCCACCGGCCCGATGAGCTGCAGCGGCTCCGGCGCGGACCCCGAGGCGGCGCCGGCGTCCGCCGCCTCGGCCCCGGGCACGGCGCCCGCGGTCTCGGCCCCCGCCGCGCTGCCCGCCGGCACCGCTGCGGAGAACAAGGCCAGCCCCGCGGGGAGTGCGGGGGGCCCTGGGGCCGGAGCCGCGGCAGTGGGCACGGGAGCCGTGGCGGCGCGCGCCGGAGAGCCGGCCGAGCGGCGCGGGGCGGGTGAGGGCCGGGGCGGGGGCGGGCTGGGCCGGGCCCCGCGGCCGGCGCGTGCGCAGGGGTCTCCGGCTGGGCGAGGGGAGGGGCTCCCCGCCCCCCGGCGCCGCGTCTCATCCTGGCTGCTTCTCCTCCAGCTCCGGTGTCGGCGGGCGGTGCGGCTCCCCCGGAGGGGGCCATGTCTAACGGGGTCTACGTTCTGCCCAGCGCGGCCAACGGAGACGTGAAGCCGGTGGTCTCCAGCACTCCTCTGGTGGACTTCCTGATGCAGCTAGAGGATTACACACCAACGGTGGGCATTCCGCCCCCGTGAGCCGCCAGCCAGCCCTGGCTTTTCGCCGAGCCACCCGATTTCACACACCCCTCCCCCCCCCGCGCCCCCTCTTATTTGCGCCCCTCAGCCCAAGCCACCGGGAGCCTGAGGATGGCCCGTTGGCGTCTGTCCCCCCTGCCCCCGGCTGACGCGCTCCAATTGGTTTCTCAGATCCCCGACGCCGTGACCGGTTACTACCTGAACCGCGCCGGCTTCGAGGCCTCTGACCCGCGCATGTGAGTAAACGCGGAGCCGGCCTGGCTGGTGTGGCTTTGTGGGCTCTCCCGCCCCCCTCTCCTAACAGTGTTTGTCCTCCCTAGAATTCGGCTCATCTCCCTCGCTGCCCAGAAATTCATCTCAGATATTGCCAACGATGCCCTACAGCACTGCAAAATGAAGGGCACGGCCTCTGGCAGCTCCCGAAGCAAGAGCAAGGTGTGCCCGACATTGGCTTCCTAATTACCTTCCCCAGCTGTGGAGGCTTAACTTAACCTGGAACCCCGCGGGGAGGTGAAAGGTCTGTCCGGGTCGCCCACCTGGGAGTGAGCGCTTGGATCTGTGTTCAACCGACCCTCTTCCCTCTTCCCTCAGGACCGCAAGTACACTCTAACCATGGAGGACTTGACCCCTGCCCTCAGCGAGTATGGCATCAATGTGAAGAAGCCGCACTACTTCACCTGAGCCACCCAAGTTTAGCCTCCTAAATGTACTTGTTTGTCCCCTTGTCCCCACACAAGCCTGTTTTCATAATAAACTTTATTGTGACAGGCAGGGCTGATCCCTCCCATGCTGGGAGACACCGTGTGGCAAGTGACAAAGCTCTGAGCTCAGCCCCTTTTGGGGCCACAGTGGTAGGGATGGGGGCAGGGGATGGGCCCCATTGCTGGGGTTAGTACCATGACTGAAGGCAGGGGATGCAATCAGAGGACTGCTGCTTCGGGGATGCAAATTTGGATGCAAATTCCCCTAACCGTGTCCTGACACCTCTAGAGGACAGGCCCTATTTGTCCTGCATCTTCTCCAGGATAGGCACGATCATGTCAAACTTGGGTCGTTTAGCTGGGTCTTCATTCATGCAGATCTTCATGAGCTTACAAACATGGGGGGAAATGCCTGGTGGGATAGTAGGCCGAAGGCCTTCCAGTGCCACCTGCAAATACAGAGAAAAACAAAGTGGGCCTCAGAACTTGGGTTTCACGTTGGAAGTGGCCTTCAGCCTTCAAGGACAGGATTTCTGTGTATTTGTGTGCAAAGGGAGAAGAGCCCAGACATACATTAATTGGCCCCACCATCTCCATTCCCAACACAAATGTATGAACTTGTGCTCTCACCTTCATTCCAATCTCCATGTTGGAGAGGTCAGCAAAGGGCACCTCTCGTGTCACCAGTTCCCACAGAAGCACTGCAAAACTCCACATATCTGCTGAGCGTCTGTTTGTGTCTTCAGGCTTCTTCTGCAGAGCTGAAGGGATTAGACTTAACCTGTTCCATGTGCTTCTCCTTACCATTACTTCTGAGCTGCCATTTCTCTCTAACTCTCAATACAATGCCCTCACTCACCTTCAGGAGCCACCCAAGCAGGGGCATACATGCGCCCAGGGCATTGGAAGGAGAACTTGACATCGGCCATGCTGATGCGAGCAGTCATGTCTTCGTCAATCTGAGAAAGTAGATGTATGCAAGAAGGTAAGTCCTATCCTATCTTAGGCAAAGAGCTTCTGGGGACCTGGGCCAAGAGTTAAGCTGTGACCTCACCATTACACTCCGGCTGTTGAGTGCATGTCGTGGGATAAGGGGCTCGAGCGTGTGTAGGAAGGCCATGCCCCTTGCCATGTCCAATGCAAATTTCACAGCCTGGCTTTGGTCCACAACAAAATCTAGGAAGCAAGAGGCAGAGTTTGGAGAGGTTTACACTTCCCCTACCCCCATGAGGTTCATTCTCCCTTACTCACTGGTGCCCTCATGTAGTACATTGTACAGGGATCCATATGGCATCCAGTGTGTGATCAGAGTAGGGTGCGGAGCAGGTGGAGACTGACAGGCACCTAGCACTGGAAGCACATTTGGATGCGAGAAAATCCTGGGAAAGGGAGAGAGAGTATCTTTGGCTGTCACAGTGTAAAAAATCTCCCTCTGGGGGCTGGAGAGAAAGTATAAGGGTTAAGGCACAAGCCTGGAATGTACCTGACCCTGTTTCAAAGCTCCGCACCATTAGTTTCCTGTAGCCATGACACTCAGTACCACTAAGTGTGACTCTGGAAGCCCCCAGCATTGCCTGGGTAGATCGGGCCCAAAGAGCACCACCACCTTGGGCCCTCACACAGAACTACTCACTGGCTCAGCTGGATGAGAACTGTCAGGAGGGCTCCTGGCCTTCACCACTTGGGAGCCAGCACTCCCCACCCCAAAATAAAAGTACCCCCCTAATTGCTAGAGTTTCTAGGATCCAGCAGCTAGCTTCTAATTTAAGACTCTCTCCCACCTGAGGCGGGGACACTCCTCATTGAAATCCCTGCTCTTCCTTGTACTCCAGTCTCGAACCTTGAGCACCTTCACCACGATGTCGTTGCCCTGCCAGCGGCCCTTCCATAGCTGAAGGAAAGAGAAGGGTTAGGAGGGTCTAACTTAGATCACCACTTTTTTGCCACTAACTGGAGAAAAAGATGTAAAAGGGGGCAGACCAGTCAGAAGTATGTAGGGGCTGGGGGAAGGAGGGGTACAAAGGGCAAGGGTCACCTCTCCAGAGTGGTTTTCGTTGAGCTTCGCCACAAAGTTGAGCTGTTTGAAGTCAATGCCGGAATGTTTGTTCAGAGTCCCATTTCCTGAGAGTGTGGGCAGGTCAGGTACCCAGCATCCCCTAAGCCAGCCCAGGAGCCCAGGATTATTCCCTATTACCACCCTTTTAACGACTGACTCACGAGGCCGAGTGCGGGTGGTCCCCTTCCAGAATGTGTCCTTGTATGGAATACGAGTGAGATTCTGGCCCATCTTCTCAGCCCGCTCTATGAAAGAAAGTCTTGGCTTGAACTAGGGTATGAAGAGAGGAAAGAGGAAGGGCAGGACAAAAGTTGTAGGGGACGGACCTCGGAGAAGCTCTCTTAAGGGTGCCTTGGCTTTATCTACAGGCATTTCTCCATACTTGTTACAGATGCTGACGAGGGCCCCGCTAGCCACCAGGTCCTGGAATGAAAAGGTAGCGATAATGAGCTCCCTACTTGGCAGTTATACAGATGCAGTCTACATCCTGTGGTCATATACACTCAACAGAACTCACAGGCAGAACTGACTTCAATGAGTTTCAAAACGTCCCACTGAGGTTCAGACTTTATTTTCCACCCATCCTGAGTTCTCACCTCTGCTACTTGATCTTGACCCCAAAAACAGGCATAGTGTAAAGGCACATTTCCATGTTCATTCACTGCATTGATATCAGCTTTATACTGCAGCAGCTGGTCCAACAGAAGAGGCAGAAGGCACAGTCAGTTCCAAATGAGAGCTAGGTGCTGAGGCACGTCTCCCTCGTGCCTTTTCTATAGTATATTAGAAGTATATTACAATGATATACTTTTCTATAGTATAATAGAAATATATTACAGTGATATACTTGTGTATATTATTGTGTATATAATGTACAGTAATATACTATATAGTATTCAATATATAATTGAATAAATTATATACAATAATTTATTTCTGCATAGCATTGTAAAGTAGTATATTACAATGCCTGCAACTCGTCCACAGACATGTATGTGATGGGGGATGGGAGGAGTGTCATACTTACCTTCTGTACAATATCACGGTGTCCATGACTGGCTGCCAGGTGCAGGGGAGTGTCATCCCCACGGTTCATCACATTGATTCGTGCCCCCCGCATGATCAGCATCTCAACCACAGCTGAGCGACCCTCTCGGCAGGCCCAGTGCAAGGGGGAGAAGCCATGATCATCCCTTAGAAGAAGGGGCAATGGTCACTGAACTGAAGATGGGAGGGGAGCAAAGGCTTTGATGCTGAAAAGCCCTGATAGCCTGTGAGTAATGACTCTCTCTGAAAATATCCAGGGCTTGCTTCTTAATACCAGCAAGTCCAAAATAGGTCTGATTTAGACCATCCCTAAGGTTCAAATCAACCAACTTACCAAATAAAATCCCAACAAGTTCATGGTTCATCTCTTCATTTCCCACCAGCCTGTCTTCCTGGCAGACTCATAAATGGCAGCATTCTTTATCTGGTTTCCCCTGTGCCTCTTTTCCCACCATCTGTTGCTCTGTTGGTCCTTTCTGTTTTTCAAGCATCTTACACATCTCGCTCCTACTCATACTTGTTACTGTAAAAATGTATGGACTATTGTCTGTTAGATTTGAAGCGTCTAGGGAGAATGTACTGCCACCAAGGATCCAAGGCATTTTAAAGTGTATGATAGTGTATTTGGGGGAGAAGGTACTCTGGAAAGAAGTCTACAACTCATGAGAGAGAATAAATTATTGATTGGTGATAATACTGAAAAAAAAAAGATCTTGAAGTGGAAGGGAATTAAAATGCTCTAGACATGTTTATAATGAAAAACCTGATAAGTTATCAATGTTAAGGTGGATATAAATCACCACAAAAAACAGGATTCTTTATCCTCACTGAAACTCTCAGCACAAAATAGAAAACTACTTATTCTAACATTTATAAAGTAAAAGAAGGTACAAAAAGTTCAAAAACCCAAAACTGAAAACACTTGGATGGGAGTTGGGCCTGCCTGACAGCCTGGGGCCATAAAAGGAAATTCCCTCCAAGTCCTGGGCAGCAGATCCAAGGGGCGGAGCAAGGGGTGGGCCACAGTCTCTGCTGGCAGCCTCCGGATGCCTTAGTGCTGTGGTCACTTCCCGTGTGGGGGTTCTAGGCGGGGACCTAAAACTGATCAGGGATTTTGTTACTCAGAGGTCCCAGGAGTGGTTGAAAGCTGGGGGTGTGTAGCCCTTCTGAGTGACTTCCCTCCACAGTAGTCCTCATCTGCTTTCAGAGATAGCCAAAAACTTTTCCTGGGGTATGGTATTCCCCTCCCCTGCTTATCAGTTTTGCCTCCCCGCTCTTTTAATTTATGCACTGACTAACCAGCTAATGCAGTCCCTGTCACTCTGCAGAGCTGACCGGAGGGCACAAGTGGTAGGCAGAAAGGTTCTGCCCATAGTCTGGCTACCTGTCACCTCAGGGCCTTTAATTCCATGAGGCCCACATATTATCTACTCCCACCTCATAGCCAGCATATAGCCAGCTTGTGCCCCTAAAGCCTCAAACAGAACCAGGGTCTCTCTGCCTAACTACCACTACCCCTTCACCTTTTCATTGTAAATAATCTTCCTGCAGACCAAATGAACCTCTTCACCTAGCCTCTATAACCCCACCCAGAAAAGAGTAATGATTCTGTCTTTATCAGAGCACTTTTTAAACAACATGTAAAACAGAACAAGGGACCCCAACTTCTAAAAGAGTAGTGTATAACAGTGACTCCTGGGCAAAGATGAGGTTACCCTTGCCCCTCAAACCTCAAAAAATGTAACTCTCCCAGTCTTAAAAAAGGAAAATATCTTAAAATATATTAAAATTCACCCTAAATCATTTGTCTTGCCTTCTGTCTAAAACAATCTTATGGAAGTTGTCTACATTCACTCATATTTTTTCTCATCAACTGAATCTGCCACAGTTCTGCTGCCTAAGGGCAGGCATTCCGTCTGACACTGGGCCTCTGATATTCAATACAGCTCCATAAATGAAAGAAATCTAGTATAGTCTGGTTTCTTCAGCTTTCTCTGAAAGGATCCTCACAAGGCTCAAGTATATCCTTAACTATCGATTTAATGGTTGTTTTGAAAGTGCTCCAAGTTCTTTGGCCTCTCAAGCAACCCATACTATTGTTTGACACTCCCCCTCAGTTCATTTCTCTTAAGCTTTCCTAACATATTTTCCTGTTTCTCCTTAAATCTTCACTCGCTTTCCTTATTTTGCAGCCTTCTGATTTCCTGCCCTCCACTTATAGTTTCCTATATCTTACTGTATCTTTAGGTGTTATCTATATGCTAGTAACTCCCTAGTCTGTGTCTCCATCTCATCTTTTTCCTGAAATCCAATTTGGTGTATGAACAACCTACTGACATATTCATCTCATTAAAGTGAAGTATTGTCACTTCAAAATGTCCAGAATGGAACACAAAATCCCCACACTAAACTCTTGTCCATCTCAGCGAAAGGAAATCAGCAACTAATAAGTGTTGAAGCGGTCATCACTTCACATGCAAAATCTCACCCATTTTTCCTTCTAAAGAGTTCTGGAATCTGATCAAAAATTTTTTTTTCCTTTTTCCACCTGTCTCTATTCTAGTCCAGGTCTAGACTAGACTTGACATTTCTGGAATGCACTAGGCATTTGCCTCTCTCCACATCACCACCTGCTCCCCACAAAACATCCAAGATAACACTTAAAAGTGGGCAATAACAATCTCATTTCATGGCTTTAAACCCTTGTTCTGAGAATAAAGAACTGGTTAGAGCCTAAATAGCCTCCCATGATCTGGCTGACCCTAGCTGAACTTTCCAGTCTGATTTCCTGCACTTGCAGCTAATGCTTCAACACACAGAAGTTCAGGGGTTTTTTTCTTTTTGATCTTCCGGCCATATGAAACTCTAGACAACTTCCTCCGCTTGCTTCCTCGCTTCTTGCCGGTGCAATTCACTAAGTCTGGAAAGCGCCCTACAAAAAAGCGGCTCCTGAAACTTACACAGCAGTCTGGAGCCCGCTCAAACCCGGCGAGCTAGGTGGAGACCCTCTGCCCCCCACCGGCTGTGCTTAGCACTTGTCGCACGGTATTAGGAAAAGTCGGCCGCCCCCATCAGACGTGAGCAACCCCGCACAGCGGAGAGGAGCGTGTGTCGGCCCTGCCTCTCACCCACCAGCCACCTCTGCTCACCCCTGGTTGAGGTCGTTCTCCGTGTTGTCCAGCCACAAGCGTACGGCAACCGCATTGCCCTCCCGGCACTGAGTGAAAATGTCGTCCATAGCAGCGTCCCAGCACTGAGTCCCCTAGAAAGGGGAAAGCCTGGGGACTGGAGGAGTCCAGGCAAGCGAGATGAGTCCCACGCTCTTGGCTCTTGGCGCCTAGAGAAGTGTTTCCGCTGGGGGTTAGGGGACTGGGCGCCCGCTCCCTGGCGTTGATCTGGGAAGGAGTTCGGGATAGCGGGACGATCCCCACTGTGGCTCGGAGTGCAAGGGAAAGGTGGCCCGGCTGAGTTAGGGGGTGGTTAGGAGGTAGCAGCTCTTGAGGGGGATGTCAGCGAGCAAGCACGGAGCCCCAACCCGCGGACAGAGCTGGGGGAGGGGAAAGTTCACGCGCCCTACCCCCTGGAAGGGGTGACTAGGGGGTCCTTTGCCCGGCTAGCCCTCCTTCCCTCCTCGGACCTCAGGCTCAGAAGTGACGGGCTGGCAGGTCTTGAGTCTTGGGGAGGGGGCACGAGGGCGCCTGCACTCACCGGGACTCGGGCTGGAGGAGTCTTCTCCCGGGGAACTCCCGTCCGGCCGCGCCCGCTGCCCGGCCCCGCCCCTGGCCGTCTCCGGCCAGCTCGGGCCTCCTTCGCTCCCCCCGCCCTCCTCCCTTGCCCGTCTAGCCCTCCAGCGGCTAAACTCAATGGTTTTCGGCACCGCTCTAGCCGCCCGGATCTTTTCCATCGTTGGTTTCCGGCTCCCGGTGGTTCGTCGCCCGCGGTTCCCAGGGACGCGCTTTGCACGTGGAGCGGCGTGTGGAGCCCACCTGGCCCATATGTTTGAGGAACCAGAATGGGCCGAGGAGGTCCCCGAAGCCGCGCGTCTCGGGCCAGTGGCCACGCGGCCTCAGCCCGCGGCGGCCTCGCCTGCCAAGGTGAGTTGCCACTCGCGCACGCTGAGTGCTTGTCGGTGGGTGAGGAGAAGTTTTTGAAGGAGGATCGCCCGGAAGTTGGAGACGGGTTTTACATTTTTTTTTTTTTAAGTTGGAGAGCGGCTGGGACTGGTCCCTTTAGACTTGTATTTTGTAAAGGTCTGTGGTTGCGGTGTGAAGATGGGACTGGAGCGCGCAGCAGTGAATGATAATGAAGGGAACCGGGTACTGAGCACCCTTGAGTGCCCGAGCTCAGACCACGCTGGAGAATCTCAACTCCAAAGGCTTCCCGGAGTGTAGACTTTTTATCTTGAAGCCCTTTCTGATACTTTCTCAAACTCTTTCTACCCTTTAGTCAACCTCCAGCATGGGACTACCTGTCTACTTTTTCTTCTTTCCCTCAACTCTGCCTACCGTCCAAGCCCCGGACCCTCCAGAAGTCAATCTCCTTTAGCTTGTTCTGTCCAGGAAGAGAGCTTGAACACACGGTGTGGACCTGTCGCTCTTATTTTCAGACTTTCCTACCTCTTACATAAAATTAAGTCAACTGGAGGCATGAGTGGACTTCTCAGATATGGTTCAAGCGGTAGAGCTCATGCTTAGCATGTGTGATGCCTTGAGTTGGATCCCTGACCCTGCCGGCATCTCTGGGCTGAGAACCACCTTGAGTGGGCCCTTATATCCAGGGTGCGGCTCAGCACCGTCAGGAGTCACCCGTTATGATCCCAGGCCCATTCCATTTATTTTGCTCTTGTTCTTTTGTTTTTCCCCAGGGCTCCAGGCGCCGACAACTCCTGGCCACATTACGGGCCCTGAAGGCTGCATCTCTTCCCCAGCGGGCCCCCAGTGTGTCTTGCAGTGACTCTGAGGAAGAAGAGGAGGTGGGAAAGAAGAAGAAACGCCAAAAAGGCGCCCGGTGTGCCAGTTCTTCGACGTCATTTGAGAAGAGGAAAAAGAAGCATAAAAAACAGGGCCCACCTGACAGGGACACTGAAGAAGAGGAAGTGGAAAGAAAGAAGTGTCGCAAAAGTGCTCTTGGCGGTGATTGTACTGAAAAGAAGAAAAAGAGGAAACATCAGGAAGAGCCCCTGTCAAACCCAGTCCAGCAGCTGGATAATGTTAACCAAACAGGTATATACATATGGGGAACAGGAAAAGAGGGGGTGAGACGGGAGGCTGATTTTAAATACATATATATATATATAATATCATATATATGTTTGTAAAATAGAGATTACCAGTCAACTTTAGGTTTGCAGTTAAGCAATGAGAAATATTTTCAGTCTCTATATCTATACAGTGGAATACTATGCAGCTGTTAGAAAAGATAAAGTCATGATATTTTCATATAGGTGGATCAACATGGAAAATAGCATGTTAAGTGAAATGACCCCGAAAGAGAGGGACAGACATAGAAAGATTGCACTCATTTGTGGAATACTAAGTAACTAATGGGAGACTAACACCCAAGAATGGCAGAGATAAGTACCAAAAGGATCACTCCACAGCTTAGAAGCCGGCCTCACATGCTGGGGAAGAGGCAGCTCAGAAAATGGACCACCAAGTAAAGGGGCTAGGAGGACCCGCTCGGGGTGGGAGATGAGGGCCAAAAGTGGACTAAAGACCAAATATGATGGCCACTTACTACCTCTATTGCAAACTGCAACACCCAAAAAGAGAGCAAAAGAGAATGCTCTGCCACAGAGGCGGGGTAGGGTGGAGGGGACAGGTTGGGGGTGGTGGGAGGGATGCCGGGACCATTGGTGGTGGGAAATTGGCACTGGTGGAGGGATGGGTACTCGATCATTGTATGACTGAAATGCAAGCACGAAAGTTTGTAAGCCTGTAACTGTACCTCACAGTGATTCACTAATAACATTTTTTTAATTTACCTTTTATGCTAAATGGTTAATTATCTTGAGGTGTGTTCCATATATTATGTCTGAAAAATTAGTATTTAAATAAGATAACAGGCAAGTTATTTTATTAAAAAAATGCTTTTTGTGTCTTGATTTTAAAAATATATATATATTTTCAGTCTCTCTGTCAAGGATGGGATTATAACTGAATGACTTGCCTCTAAATTGAGATTTGTCCCAATTAGAAATCCCATTTTCTTCCCTGCAGGACCCAAAGCTTGCAAGAGTAGTGCTACAAGTGACTCATTCACATCCAAACCGAATCCTGAGATCTCTTCCCCTAATCCGCCCCACACTTTGAGTCGCAAGCAGTGGCGGAACCGTCAGAAGAACAAGCGTAGACAGAAAAACAAGTTTCGGCCCCCTCAGCCGACTGACCAGACTTCGGCCACAGCCCCCACAGTGCAGACAGAGGTGCCTCCTGTCCCCAATCCAGACAGCCAGGATGCTCGGGCGGATGCTCTGCGAGCTCGTATGACCCAGAGGCTGGATGGTGCCCGATTTCGCTACCTCAACGAACAGTTATACTCAAAGCCTAGTAGTGCTGCCCAAAGCCTTTTTCAGGAAGACCCTGAGGCCTTTCTTCTCTACCATCGAGGCTATCAGAATCAAGTCAAGAAGTGGCCACTGCATCCTGTGGACCGCATTGCCAAAGATCTTCGCCAGCGGTGAATGGGAGTTGGGTACTTATGAAAATCTTCATGGGTCAATCATGGGCTTAGAGCAGACAATTAATGATTGATCCTCCCTTTCCATTTTTAGGCCCGCATCCCTTGTGGTCGCTGATTTTGGCTGTGGAGACTGCCGCCTGGCTTCTAGTGTCCGGAATCCTGTTCATTGTTTTGACTTGGCCTCTCTGGATCCCAGGGTTACTGTGTGTGACATGGCTGAGGTATAGCCCTCAATTATGTATCTGACCTGTGTTCAGGTCCCAACATTCCATCCTCCCTCCCCACCTGTCATCCTGGTATCCAACCTTAGGATTGGTTTTTCCTTCTTTAAAAAAGCCCCCCCCCCCCCCCCCCCCTTCTACCTCCTATAGGTTCCTCTGGAGGATGAGTCTGTAGATGTGGCTGTGTTTTGTCTTTCGTTGATGGGAACCAACATCAGGGACTTTCTAGAAGAGGCAAATCGAGTGCTGAAGCCAGGGTAGGTATCCTCAAGGCACAGGTATATGTATATGTGTACCAGCAAATGTTTGCATTTACACAGAACTTTCATTCTTCTTAGGGGTCTCCTGAAAGTGGCTGAAGTCAGCAGCCGCTTTGAAGATGTCCGGGCCTTTCTGGGAGCTGTGACCAAACTGGGTTTTAAGATCATCTTCAAGGTAAGAGCCTATGACACCTTTCCCCATTTTTGTCTTATGTGTGGCCTTTTTATATGTTAATGGTGTTAGGAAGAAGGTCTTAGTACAAGTATAGACATTTGCTCATGAAGGTACAACCCAGGGAAGAGCCCTGGGAAACTTTCTGAGCAAGAGCGGGGCAGGAATGGAGAATTTGAAGAGCTGGAATAAGGATTTGCAACTCATTGAGTCTTTTCTGTCCCTAGGATCTGACCAACAGTTACTTCTTCTTGTTTGATTTTCAAAAGACTGGACCTCCTCGGGTAGGGCCCAAAGCTCAACTATCAGGCCTGAAGCTTCAGCCATGTCTCTATAAGCGTAGGTGACCTCTGGAACCCCCATGGAAGGGGAGGCACGTATTGAACTCTAGTCTCAGAACACTGACGACTATCCAGGCAGGCTGGAACAGGACCTACTACAACCCTTCCTCCCAGGAAGATCATGTGATAGAACTCATAATTCATGTCTGCTCAGGTGATGGCTTATTGGCTGCTCTGAAGACCTCTTGGTTCAAGCTAGATAAAGAATAAGGAGTTTATTCCATGAATGCAGACAGGGTATCTTAGAATCCCAGATTCCAACCTTCTTCTGATCTACCTATATTTCAGTTTTCAGTAGATTCTGCTTTTTAACTTATTTTTAGTCCTTCAAGGCCTCAAACGGGTAGCTGTTGCTTCTTGTCTGTGAAGTAGCTAGTAGCCCACTAATATCTCAACTCATCTGCACTGTATTGAACTCTTGTTTTCCCTAGTCTTCATTTTTTTAGAGCCTTATGACCCACAACACTCCTATCTATACCTCTTGGCCTGTAGGGCTCTGGTATAGTTAAGATCAGAGATCATGGAATCAACTAGGCCTGGATTCAAATCCTGACTTGCCACTTTCTGCTGCATCATTTAATCTCTGAATATCCCATTCCTCGTTTGGAAAAATGGTGAAATTCCTATCTTGGAATTGTTGTGTATGTTGACTGGGTGTATTTATTTCAGAATTTGGAATATAGAAGGTACTCAATAAACTTGCCATGACTAGTATATGTTGTAAGTCTTATTCTCTACCTTCCTTTGGTATGGAGGTTGATGGGTAAATGAATTTGATGACTGAAAAGGACCTTTGGAGAGTGCACGACAGTCTTTTTAAAAGGCTCATTTTATAGGCTATTTAGAGATTGTGCATACATTCAGTAAGCAGGTAGTAAGTGTAGTACAAAGTAATAAGGGAGCTGGGTCTCTATGTAAATAACTAGTTGCCAGGATGTTGGTAGGATATTGGGCTATTTATTAATAAAAGGGTCTGCCTTGCAATGGGCTCCTATAAGCATGTCATAGGAAAATTTTTGGTAAGAAAGACTAGTGCTGGGAGAACATGAACAGAATATTGGGTCCTTAGCCTTTCCCAAAAGGTATCTGCCATGGGCTTAAATGTAAAAAACAGGATGTTTTCTACCTATTTCCAAAATCAGGAATATAGGCTACAAGGCTCAGAGCCATTTAATGCCTCTAATAAAAGAATGAAGGTTTTGAGGCAATTTCTAGGCAAGGGCACCTTTAGAAGCTGAATGGGGGTCCACATCCAACCACCTCTGCCGCACAAGCACATCTACCAGCCTTGTTCCAGAGACTCAAATAGATCAACTGGTTGTAAAAATTTCTGACACCTGTTCCCAGATAAGACCTCCAGGGTGATCTTAGAAGGGAGTAGGCTAGCTCCTGCTCAAAACCCCAGCAGCCGCTCCCACACTCCAAAGCCACCACCGTACCTCCGGCTGGACCTGACCACCTACGGACAGAGCACCACGGAGAACCTAGTGTACCCCAAACTCCAAACTCCAGATACACAGGTCATTGTGGATGAGAACTCCAGATCTTATTGGACTCCAGATGGGCTACCCCCCGCCCCCAGGCCCCCATATGAAAAGACCCAACAACCACACCTAGTTAAATAGTTAACTGCCCAGTTAACAGCCCAGTTACATTTTCTGGATTTTCTGGAGCATGCGACCACATTCGCAACATGCCCCAAATCTACAATACTGACATCCCAGTGGTAGCACACCAGATTGAATGGGGTATATGGCAGTGTTGACTAGCAAAAATATTAACACAGAAGAGTTAACTTTGCAACAACATCTTAATAAATCCTCAGTTAAAGCCTTAATGTCCCCACGATACAACAGTTTTCACAAATTTTCTTCTACAGAAATATTTTTTGATCATTCTGTTAGCCATTTAATGATAAGCAATATAAAATAATTATTGTTTGTTGCTATAGGGACAGGCTTGAAGGGTGGTTGGGAAATTGGAGACAACTGTGAAAGAAATATTGGATATTGAATGCCTGTAACAAATCATCATGAACAGCTTTGTAAACCACAGTTTTTAAGTAAAGGGGGAAAAAAGTTGAACTGTGAACCAGACTGCAGATTCTGTTTAGTGACTTTGCATATGGCTCTTATCTCTGCTGTATCCCTCCAATTGGCAAAGTCATACACTTCCAAACATTCTAGTTGTTTCCAACTCCTCAATTTCAAAAACAGAATTAATTTTTCATCTGTGTTCTTAAAGTACTATATGAAGAGTGCAACTTCCCATAAATACTGCATTTGACTGCTTTGTGTTTTAGACGAAAGCCTTCCCAATTGTAATTTTATTTTTATGTTCGCAAATCTTATCACTGGGAATTCATCTAAGGAAATGGTAAGAGTTGACAGGGTCCAACTGAGTGGGATTGGTGAAAGTAGGGATGTTGCAGGAACCCAGGCACTGTGGAATGTGACTCTAGAAAAAGAGGACAGCAGAATTTCAGTAGGTAGAATTGGTGGAATATTGAGGGTTAGAGGAATCTGAAGTTTGAATTGGATAAGCTGGTGTTGCTGTTCAAAACATTGGGTTTTAAATACCTAATAGATGCTTATTTAAAGGGCCGGAGTGATAGCTCAGTGGAGAGGGCATTTGCCTTGCACGCAGTCAACCTGGGTTCGATCCCCAGCATCCTATATGGTCCCCTGAGCACCGCCAGGAGTGATTCCTGAGTGCAAAGCTAGGAGTAATCCCTGAGCATCACCAAGTGTGACCCCCCCCCCAAAAAAAATGTTTATTTTGAAAGTGGAGTGTAAAAATACCTGGAGAGATCTGTGCTGATTTGAGAATCAGCCATCTAGAAGCCTTTTAAAGAGATAAGAATAGATAAGATGAGCCAGGATAGATACTACAGAGGTTAAAGACACTTGCCTTGCTTATGGCCCTCCCTAGCTTGACCTCCAGCACTTCATAGTCTCCTGAGCAGCTCTGAGCATTGCTCAACCCCTTCTCTCCTAAAAAAGGGAAAAGAAAAAGATAAGCAGAAAGAAAAACAACACAGTATAGAACAAGGAAGAGGGAAATAAACCAGAGATGAAATGAGATTATGCCAGAGATAGAGGAGTTAAACCAAAAGAGGATGTTGAACATGAAAGGAATGGGGAGGTGGTCAGCTGGTAAATGTTGCTAAGACGGCTAAGATGAGAGATAAGTCACATTGCAGTAAGGTGAAGATAGCTGAGTAATGTTAAGTGTCTTAATGTATAGTGATGTTCGTGAGTTGTAAGGCCTATTAGCCCAACTGTATGGTTACCTCTGCCTGCTCAGGAATCTAAGCATAACTGTAAAAAAGATGAAGAGCGAGGAGCCATCCAGACTGGAACCTTGCACTTGAAAACAAAAGTGCTCAAAGGAGTTTCAGACCATTCCCTAGTAAATAATTGCTGTTAGAATTTTGTAGAACCGGTAAAATGAAGATAGGAGTAGGTTGTTGCACTTAACAGTCACGGAACTAGGAACCAGAGAGGGTAGAGGGCTATAGTCAGAAATTGGAATACTTAGTTATTAATATTGGAAGCAGGATATTTCTGAGTGATAGCAAGTCCAGAGAGTGGCCATAGGAATGAGAGACTGAAAGGTATGTAAGGAAGGGTTCCTTGATACTGGTTAATAGACTGAGGGCTCAGATATTAAGGGGAGGGGTTGTCTGCACAGACTCTGAAATTCTATAGGAAAGTGGTAGAACGTGGCAGTGAAGCAGGTACCAGCCTCAGATATAGGGATAGATCCTGGGAGATAACTAGGGTGATAGAGAAAAAGAGACTTCTTTTATGTAAGTTGAGAAAGGTGGGGAGAGGGATCGGGGATGGCACAGCCTCCTAAAGTGACTTCTATTTGGGGAAGATAAAAAGCTGGTGAATGGAGCTTTCTACTATACCACCAAGATAAAATACAGGCTTTTCCAGCTTATCAGGATTCACTGGGGATTTGGGGGGAAATGACTATTGTAGGTCCATGGGGCTAGAAAAAAAAGGCAAACCACAAAGTTCAAGGAATCTGTGGGAGGAGCAGGGCTTTTCATTGTAGTATACACACCAATTTTTGTAGCCTTATATCAGTGTTCTTCAAATGTTACTTTTATTCCTAGATCTTGATTCATCTTCCCAGTTTTCTCTTTTTTGAGGGATAGAAGAAAAGGGAAGGGGCCTTTGTGTTTGTATTCAAAGGATCATGTAGCATCAGAGTTTGAACCTGGGGTTCCAGCATGCAAAGCATGTAACCCGCACATTGAGTTCCCTCCTTGACTTCTCTTTTGTGTTTTTATTTGTTTGTTTGGTGTGGGGGGGCAGTTGTTTGTGTTTTGGGGTGATACCCAGCATTGCTCAGGAATTAATCCTGACTCTGTACTCAGGAATCTCTCTTGGCAATGCTCGAAGGACCATATGGGTGCTGGAGATAGAACCTGGTCAGCCACTTGCAAGGTTAACTCCCTATCTGGTGAACTCTCCCTACAACTCTCTTTTCTGTTTTCTTATGCTCTGCAAGACAGTGGAATTCCCTTACAAGTCGGATTCTCCTTTAGATTATGTTTCCAGTTGCTTGAGTATTTTCCCTAGTAATTTCTACTAATTTCTCACTCAAACCTTAGACTCCCCCTAATACAGCCCATCTCCCATACTGAGTCACCCTGATTCTGAAAGCAGGATTCTCCTGAATCTGAACTGGTCCTTCCTGCTCCATCATTAACTCCAGGATGAGTTCTTTTTCATTCAGTCCATGACGGGGCTTCAGTGTCCAATGCTGTGAGCCTTTTCTAAAGAGATCATAGTATATCTTTCCTAAAAAAAACAGTAAAGCAGTTATTTCAGAAAGAGTGAGATTAGTTAATGAAACAATTTGAGAAGAGATTAAGAAGGAGAGATGAGAATAGAAAGAGGTAAATAGAAGTAGGAAGGAGTTGTGAACTGAGGTAGTTCTCAAACTTTAAGTTGAATATGACCTCCTGGAATGTTTTTATAATCCATATTTGCTAAAATTTCCATTTCTGGTTGAAATAAGGAAGGGCTTACATTCATTTTTAATCTTATTTCTCTCAGTGAAGCAGGAAAGCAGATTTAGGGGTAGAAATGACTGAGAGAAAAGGTT